AGAGGAGAACTGAGTTAACTCTTATCATGTAAAATTGAGAAATGCTAATGCTTCAGTCGGAGAAGGCAATGGCACCCCACTCCAGCACTCTTGCCTGGAAAATCCCATGGATGGAGAAGCCTGGTAGGCTGCAGTCCATGGGGTCGCTAAGAGTTGTACACGACTGAGCAACTTCACTTTCACTTTTCACTTTCATGCATTGGAGAAGGAAATGGCAACCCACTCCAGTATTCTTGCCTGGAGAATCCCAGGGACAGTGGAGCNCATTAAAGGGGATGCCCACTCCACTCATCCCCTAGCACCACCCTAAGGATAAACTAAATGAATGGAAAGATGCTAAAAAGTTTAATGTAGCAAGTTTCTTTAGAATTTCATTAATGCGAATTCTGATTTGGAATTTGTAATATTTTAAAATATTTTGTTTTCATAGCAGACAATACAACACGTGTGCCTCCTGAATCTATTACCTCACTGATTATAGAGGGCAGGGACCTATTCTTACTCATCACTGTCTCCCCAGCAGCTGTCAGTGCTTGGTAACTGGCTGCTATGAATCCTTTCAGATGTTTCCTGTGCATTTTCATATGTGTGTGTGCACATGTACACACAAACACACTCTACTTAGATCTTACTCTGTAGCATACAGAGTTTTGAAAGTCCTTTATGGAAGACAGTAAACAGCAGGAGGGTGTTGGAGAGGCTTGGAAGAGCTGCAATGCTAAGTCATTCCAAATCTAATGTAAATAGTCCAGGGATGAAGAATAAGCAGGGCATATATCAAGGAGACCTGATCGCTGAAGAAACCTCCTTTTTCTGGGCTCTTCTAATCATTTAGTGGGGCAAGTATCCATTTCAGCAGTTCTGATAGCATCCACAGATGAAATGGCTTATTTCCCCATCTTGGGCCAACACTGGGGCTGTGACCTGCATCCCTAGTCGAGCCCCCTGGGGTGGAGTCAGGACATAGTGGATCATGGCTATTGCTTGGGGATGGTGGTTTGGAACATGGAATCTGGGGGCAGACATACCACACTGTCAAATTACTGAATGACTTCTGGCAAATCGTTTGACTTCTCCAAGTTTGTTTTTTCATCTGTGAAGTTCACATAGTACTTCCTCCTGAGACTGACAAAAGAATTCAAAGGCGAGCACATGGAGTCCTTTTGCCTGAGCCCACTACTGCTTGGCTCTGATTTGGCGAGGGGGAGGCTACGCAAAGCCCATCAGAGGAAGAGCACTTCTGGCTGTGGCTCAGGGCAGGCACAGCATCTTCTTACCTTAGCTGTCCTGAGACAGGGAACACATGAAAAGAGCTGCATGACCTAGAGAGAGTTGCTTAAACAGTGTTTTGTTTTCTCATCTACCACCCGAGTTAGGCTGAGCTGTACATGAGGTTGAATTTGGGGGACAACAGTGGTACTTATTCCCTCTCCTTATTCCTGAGCAAAAATGATTTAGAAACACCCATCCAGAATCATAGTCTGCTGTACCCTGATGCTCAGAGCTCTGAGTATTTACTCCAACTGACAAGCTACCTGGGTAACACCTTCTGCTGGGTGTTTCCAGATGGAGGCAGTATCTCTTTTTGTTGCCCACAGGAGTGGAGATGAGCGATCTTCTCCTGATTACCTTGCCACACCACTGATGGAATTTGGGAATTAGTTTGGGGCCTCCCACCCTATATTCCATTGAATTGCAGAGACTTCATTTCACCGGTGTTAAAAAAGGAAAGGCAGAATAACAGGCATTAAATTAAGATCATGCACTTCTGCCAAAGACCCCTCCACCCTCACTGGATCTCAGGGACTTTGAGTAAAGAATCCACCTGCAATGCAAGAGACACAGGAGACCTAGGTTTGCTCCTTGGGTCGGGAAGATCCTCTAGAGGAAATGGCAACTCACTCCAGTATTCTTGCCTGGAGAATTCCACAGACAGAGGAGCTTGGTGGGCTATAGCCCATGGAGTTGCAAAGAGTTGGTCGGACACAACTGAGCAACTAAGCAGCACACTAGTCCCCCCCCCCCAAAATTACCACTACTAGATTTTCTAAACTGAAATGGAGCAGTCATTCTTACCTCCGGGTGCTGATGAGAACAGAGCAAAATCCCAGGAAGGCACTGGCTCTTCCAGGTGCTCGGCTTAGAGGCAATGTGTGTGGGGTTGCCTGATAATATCCTACCTGAACTGTGTGTTTACCACCAGCTTGTGGGTTGCTCTATTTCTGATCCTTCACAGGACTTTTTTATTTTGCTGTTCTCTTGGCTGCAGCTCCTCCTTGATGGTTTACTGTGCAGTCCTGTCATCTCACAAAATCCCACTCCTGCAAAAGGATTAGCAAAATTACAGTGTTGCTGCTACTTAACATTCAGGAAATGCAGCATCCACACACAAGTTACCAATCATACTTACCAGATGGTAACTCTATCTTTTCCACCAGAAAGTGAGCAGCAAACACTGAAACACATCACTAGTACAACACTTAAATTCACATCCATTTTTGATTTGACATCCTTAATGAGTTGGTAAAATGAAAGCCAGTATTTTACCCCTATATCGTTCACTATTTATAATAGCTACAATAATGCAGACTTGATATTTTTAAAATTGTCATGAAAAAAATCTCACCATAACCTACAATTTTGATATATTCTGCATCTGAATATACTTTTTGCAATACTTCGGAGTTCTATATTCAGAATGGGCTAATAGAAATGGCACATGGCAGGAAGGATAAAAATCTAGCAGCTGATGATGGCGTCCATATATTTTTCTAGCACCACTGCTTAAGTTTAGTGATTACTTTTTTGTAGTTTACTTAAAAAACTTTAAGATCAACCAGTTCTCTCTTACTGGACTACATTATGAAGAAACTGATGCCCAGGGGTGGAGTAAGTTCCTGATGTGATAACAGCAGAGCCAGAGAGCCCTGTTTTCTGAGTCCCAGGTCTAGATTTCAGCTCATTGAACATGCCCTAAAGATCTCTGAGTTTTGGCCTTAGCTGGGGGTCAACAAATTAAATGGCAACCCTGGCTAGTTTGGTTTCTGTGCACTTACTGAGTAAAGAGTGGTTGTTGATGGGCTGAATTGTGTCTCAATTCCATGGTGAAGTCCTAACCACTAGGACCTCAGATTGCGACTGTATTTGGAGAGAGGACCTTTCAAGAGGTGGTAGTGGTTTTGTCGCTAAGTCGTGTCCGACTCTTGTGATCCCATGGACTGTAGCCTGCTAGGCTCCTCTGTCCATGGGATTCTCCAGGCAAGAAAACTGGAGTGGATTGCCATTTCCTTCTCCAGCAGATCTTCCTGACCCAGGAATCGAACCCAGGTCTCCTGCACTGCAGGCAGATTCCTTACCAACTGAGCTTTGAGGGAAGTCTCTTATAGAGGTAGCTAAGGTAAAATGAGGTTTGTGAATTAATGGGCCCCGATTTAGTATGACAGGTTAGAACACAGGGAATATGCAGAGGGATGACCATGTGAGGACACAGCTAGAAGGCGGCCATCTGCATGCCAAGGGAAGAGGCCTCAGAAGAAACCAACCCTGGTGACATCTGGTTTTTGGACTTTAAGCCTCCAGAACTGCAAAGAAATAAATTCCCACTATTTAAGCCACATATTTCTGTGGCATTTTAAAAAATGGCAGCCCTAGCAAATACAGTGGTCCAGAGCAAAGGAAAATGCAGAACTCACATTACATTTTTCTTTCTAATAGAGACACTATGTTGTTAACCAGGATTCACTTATCCTAAGGATACAGTGGTAGCTTATGGAACCAGAGCAGAATGCAGCAGCCCTCAGAAATGCATTGGATCCAGGGCCTGAAGCACTGCCAAGATTCTGCTCTCATCTCTGCTTTTCATTGTGTATCTGCTTCAGTTTTTTTTCCTTTTTAATCCATCCCAATTTCCAGTTCCTGGGAAGAGACTGATTGGCCCAGACTGAGTGAGGGACTCACCCTGTCTACAGTCATGCCAGAGGAGGCAGAGTCACAGGGCACACAGTGGCCATCAGAGCCCTGTGGAGACAGAGGAAGCATTCTCAGGAAAGCAGACTCACCAGACCATGAAACAGCTTCTCTGTAGCATGGAGGGTCTGACCCCCGTCAAAGGGCTATAGGGAGGCTAATATGTGATGCTCAGTGTGCTGAAGTGGAATGGTTGATGTATTAACAGTTTGGCTACAAATAGCAAAATTAAGACAAAAGCAGCCTGAGACGTCATTGAGACCAAGGACTTCTTGCAACCTGATGGCGGTTTCCCAACTGAGGATGAAAGAGAAGGAAGAAATGGCAACAATGCTGATTAGCAGCCTGTCAAATGATACGCACTCATCAGCTAGAAAAAGTTGATTGGTGATCAACTGGAATTCCAATATACAAATGGTGCGGGATATTTATAATCTAAAAAATAATGTGCAATGAAACATAACAGAAAGCCAGACTGGTCTCTGAGTTCATATATATTTGGGAGCCTAAATCATTACTCTCTGAAAGGAAGAGGGGGAAAGATTAAGTAATGCTTTTTGTTCTGGAGAAGAGGGTAACATGGAAAATCAAGAAGAACGAATTTTCAATTAAATCAGAATGAGTCAAAAATGGTTACCAGCCTGAATTAGCATGGGAAAGGGCATCCTGACTACTGTCATGGCACCCTGCTCTCGCTCACATTACCTCTTCTTCTTCTAGCTGGTACCCAGGCATAATGCCCCTGCTTAGCTCCGTCTCCTCTGTAACACTCTCCCTGACTGATCGTATCATTTGGCATTTTATTTTTCTGAAACTGCTTGTGGACACTGTGTTCTCCACCACCCCACCCAGGACTAACCCTCCTTAGGGTGAAGGCCCATATGATATTGCCCAATTTGTCTTTAAGGGTCTCATACACCTTTCATGAACATTTGTTGCCTGACCAGTTGCCACCAGCTGAACTGAAAATGGTCAGAAATCTGCTTGCTGGGCTCAAGTAATCTTAGAACAAACAGAGAAGAGAAACATCCAGGTATAGTTCTTTTAAGATAAAAACTTTATTTTACAATTATATAAAGCAGCTTTACATTAAGCACAAACAATCCATTTACTTTGTATAGAAACAAAATACCTTTCCATCTGCAAAAAATCAAGTTTTGCTGTATATAAAACTAACATGTGCACATTGTGCTTAAACTGCAAAGTCTGTACAGCTTTACAAAGGACTACCCTTCAGAAGGGCATCCAGTAAACACTTTATTGCATATTTAACACATGGTCTATAACCCACATGTACAATGGAGAAACAAGAAAAACAATCACAAGGAGGATGAAAATAGCAGCTTTCAGTGAAACTTTTGCACACCTATAAAGAAAAAGGACTGCCACGTCTGGAGAGTTGTGCTTGTGTGTCATTTCTTGTATTTGCTCATGTACACTGGATGGTTTTTGGATGAAGCCTTTATGTACAGTAACTCTGAAAGGGTCAAACTTGACCTTTATCTGGGAACTTTTGGCTGGTTTTATAACTGAAGTGGCAACAGATTTATTTAAACATCAAAGCTAACTCAAGATAAGTGTAAACAACTAATACCCATAATCTTGGAACAAGGAAAAATTTAAAGAATTTTTAAAAAAATAGTAAAATACCTTCCCCATTCTCTCTAATCTCAGACTAAACATTTTGCATGATTTAAGACCCTAGAAAACTCCATAGGTGTTAAGGAACAAAAATGATGGATGGTCTTGGGCAGTGTTTCCCCACCTGTCCCTCAGATCATTTGCCTCAAAATTACCTGAATGCTTATTTTTAAAATGCAGACTACCAAGCTTCACAGGCAGATTTACTGGATATCTGGAATCTGTATTTCATTAAGCTCCCAGGTGATTGTGAGGCATTCTAAAGTTTGAGAACCACTGGTTTGTACTGCCAGGGATACTACAGGTTCAACTCACCCTCTGAAAATCCTGGGATCACAGGAAAAATAGAGTTGCTGTTGCAACATGGAAGGCAGGATGAGACCAACAGCAAAGAAATTGCAATGCCATTTCTAGATCAAAATGTCTTTCTATTTTCAGTGAGAAAAGACAGCCACATTGTTAAGGCACTGATATTTGTCACAGAAGCAGTACCATACTGTTTTCACTGATTCCCTCAATCTGAAGTAGCAGTATGCAAACAGAAGGCAGAAATCTGGACTGATCTAAATAATAACAAATACAATGGAGTAAAAAGGATTTCCAGACTGGAGAAAGTTTATTTTTGAGTGCTGAAAATAAAATTAAAAAAGGAGTCTAGATATTCTTATTGAGACATCTAATGTATGAAGACTACAAAGGTCAACAGCTAGAGGGAAACCTAACACCCCACAACTGTTGTGTTGTGGCAAAATTGACTTGTGGTCATATAAACTGGGAGTTTCAACTTACTTTTCCATGGACAGTTTCCATGGGCTTCCCTGGCGGCTCAGATGGTAAAGACTCTGCCTGCAATGCAGGAGACCCAGGTTCGATCCCTGGGTTGGGAAGCTCCCCTGGAGCAAGGGAATGCTACTCACTCTAGTATTCTTGCCTCGAGAATTCCATGGACAGAGAAGCCTGGTGGGCTACAGTCCATGAGGTCATAAAGCGTTGGACACGACTTAGTGGCTAACACTTTCACGTCAGTTGTGGGTCTTTGTTCCGGCTGCTGATATAACATGTATTTTGCACAAAGGCAGGTATGCATTTTCCCATTTCTGAGTGGTGCTGGTAGGCTGAGTGCAGTCAAGATGCAGTGGGCAGACAGGTGCCCACCTTGCTCTTGATGTGCATTTCATAGAGGTCACACACACACACACTGCACCACATGTGTCAGACTCAGTCCTCTGAAAGTACGGGATCTCACATTTCCAATCTGTATAAGTTACTGTATTGATTTAAGGTATTGTCACACACTAAAACAGAGACAGCAAAATCAACCTCCCTCAGTTCTGACCTACTGCCTAAGTCCTAGAGCAGACATTGCCCAGGGTATGAGGGCTATGATGCCTATTTATGTGAGGTATGAGAGATATAAAACCCAAATAAAGGTCTGATTACACATGTACAGCTAATATAGTAGCATCACTTTTATCCAAGAGCTGAAATAATTTAAAATTAAAAACTGCAAAGAAAAAACACTGATACAGAAAAGTTTGGAACGCTTACATAAAAACTATGTATTTTGTGTACATCAATAGTTTGGAAAGCTGTAGACCAAGAATGATCTAAGTAGGAAAAAAATCTGCTACAAGCCTTATAATATCTGACCTAATATTTTTCTTTAAAGAGGAAAAGAATGTTGGAAAGGCAGTGGTAGTGGACTTATTAAAATTACTACCTCCTCCACAAATTTAGGTTTATAGTAAAATTTCCCAAATCTCCCCAAAATGTCCCCCCCAAATAGACAAAACTCTCGAGTGTAGTCTGAAATGAATAGAAAATTTGAGATAGTGGCAAAAAGAAACCACCACAATGGGGGTAAAGGAGGGGGGTATACTGATTATCAAATCTTTACTGATTGTAGATCGTTTCATAAAACAGATAACATTTTTGTTCTGTTTTGTAATTTCTTGTGCAGTCAACAAGTTTCATTTTAGTTGTGCTTACATTATATAACTGTGAAGCCTGAACATTGGTTGTGTTTTTAATTTACACACTTCAAGCAAACCATAAATTCAAAATATTCTCCATATATAACAACTTGAACAAATGCAACAGATGCTCATCCATCCCTAAGAAATTAATTTATAGAAAAGAAAGATCATCTTTAAAGTTGCACACAGTCCACTATTCAGGCTACAAGTACATATTTACTGTATTTTAGCACATTATTTTTTTAAAGTCTGCTTTCAACATAAACATAAATAACCACATTTTAAAAGAGCCCCATACTAAGTTTTCAGACAAGTGCTGGACAGCTGGCCATTAAGAGCTACTTACCGTTGTCTTTCCCCAATCGAGAGAACTGGACTAGCTGTGGAACTGAACAGGGTCATAAGCAAGGCCAAGTTAAATATCTTCATTCAGCTCACTGACTAAACACTTTTCTGCTCTAAATGCCAACGACAGTCTAAACACTAAACCCATGGAATGCAATTATCTCAGAAGACTGGTTTTAAGGATCATTTATCACTGATGTAATCCACAAAAACCTAGTATACAACCTTTTAAAATGTGCCTATGCTCTGCTGACATAGAGCCTCTAGTTTCTGTGAACAGCAGAGGCTGACGGAGGATTTTGGTTCTGAGCTCTAGTTGTGCTTTGCCCGGCTGCCTTTAAGGTAGCTCTTCCACCTCTTGACAAATTCTTTGAAGATTGGGGACTCATCAATGGTGCTGAGCAGCTGCAGTTGATTGATGTGGGTGGTGTGATAGTCCCAGCGGGCCAGGTTGGGGGCAATGCCAAGCATGAAGTGCCGGAGGTCGTAGATGGTTCCTGAGCCAGTGTCGTACAAGGGGAGCATGGCTTTAAGGGATTCCATGCCACGCTCGTACAAGGACCTCGCTTCTTTCCCGAGTTTTTCCCCTGCAGTTTCTTTTAAGTCATACAGCCCAATTAAAGAATACATAAAGCCATTTAAAACAAAAGAGCTAGGTGTAGTTGGATATTCTTCATACCAGTCATGTTTATTCATAAACACAGCCTTGACTCCATGCTGCTCTGACAGAAACTTGTAAGGGGCTGTTGCCCTTAAAGCTGAATTGAGGAATATATGGTCTTTTGTTAAGAGATAGGCCCTGACTAATGTAGAAATGGCTTGCCCTTGGGCCATGGCGGAGTACCACCCTGGCTCTAAAGACTTGAAGCCTTCCCCTAACTTACGGGTCACCATAATCGGCCAGCCGCCTTTCTCATCCTGGTTCCTCACCAGCCAGTCACTGGCAGCGAAGAAGGCAGCCATGTGGGCTGTGGTAGAGATGGTAATGTTGTCAAGGAAGCCCTTTCCCTTCGCAATCAACCTAACCACCTTCTTGGGCATTATTCTTGTTGGCTTGACAGCTTTTGTGTTGGAAAGACCCACTCCTTTCCTGAGGTCAGTGACCAGGTCCCTGGTAACCGTGCTCCATGATGTTCTGGGCCCGATGCCATAGTATATGTCTCTTTCTTTAAAAGCAATTAGCTGGGTATTTGAGACATAATGTACAGTGAAGAGCTGATTCTTTTCTGTTGTTTCCAGAACCACAGACACACTTCCATTTGTTAAGAACTTGAGGTCAAATGAAATAATAAAATCTTTTGTGTTCCCCAGTTGTAAGGACACACCTTCACTGGTTTCTGCAGGGAAAAAAATATACCAAAAAATACTGGTTAGAATAGAAGGTCTCTCTCTGTATTTAAAAGTTACTTGCAATTCATCCTTGATAACCACTGACCATAGAAAATTAATACATCAATATTTTATATGTTGGATTATTATTTTTTAATTTTAATTTTTACTAAGTTAACCATTAACAAATGGCAGAATTGTTGAATCCACGATGGCTTGTGAGCATCAGACCAAAGCTCTTTTACCTTTTGGCCTGTCTAGTTTACATTAGAGGGGTTAATGGCCTTAGCAGATAGCTAAGGTACTGTGGTCAAAATGCCTTTTCTAGATCAAAAATTGTTTGATCAATAACCAATGACTGTCTAATATATCTATTCCACAAAAAGAAAATAAACAGCCAAAAGCTGGTTTAACACATAGTTACAAGAAAGAGACTATAAAAAAGAAAGGTTAGACATGAATTGATGGAACAGACAATTATGGAAGTTGTATGGAGACTGAGAACATCTTAGACTTAAACATCAAATGATGCTTTGAGTGACTTTTTGAAAAGCAATTTCAAATTTTTTTTTTTTTTTTGGCTATGCTGCATGCTTGTGGGATTGTAGTTCCCCCATCAGCAACTGAACCCAGCCCCTCACAGTAGAAGCATGGAGTCCGAAACACTGGACTGCCAGGGAATTCCCTAAAATTTTTTATGTAATTACTATTTGGTAAGTATTTGCTGTGTTCTAGGTGCTTTACACATTAGTTCATTTAGCCATTGTAACAATTACAAGGGTAGTGCTATTATTACTCTTTATGGATGATGAACAGAGACAGAAAAGGTAAGTAACTTGCCTAAGGTACAAAGAGTTGAACCCAGGTTGTTTAGTCTGGCTCTATGAAGTACATGCTCTTAATCACCCACTGTTGTTGGAAATGATAGGTTGTTTTCAGACATTCACTGGAATTGTGAATAAAACTTCTGGAAATTAAGCAATGGGCTCCTGTAGTCAACAAAAAGTGAGGAATACTGGGAGAGATGGAGGGGGAAGCATAGGTTTTGGAGTTAAACAAACCCAGTTTGAATTATTAACTCCACCACTTACTAGCTTTGAGATGTTCAACTCGGTTTCTTCATGTGTTAAGTAGAGATAATATTACTTTGCAAGGAAACTGTGAGGATTAAAAGAAAAAGGATAGTGGCTTGGAACATAGTAAAAAGCAATGATGAAAATTCTAAAGCCAAAGGTTTCAGAGACTGAAAAAATAGTAAGAGCTGTTCTATTTGGCAAATAGTCAAACAGGAAATTTCTCTTGCATATCTATAGTATGAAGACAGCTGACTCTCAGAAAGTTGACTTCTACAAATAAAAGAAACTGAGTATATTAAAACCAAACAGTAGTAGCAGCAGGAGGAAGAAGAAATCGAACAACAAAATATTTCTTCTTCTTCCTGTTGTTGCTACTGTTTGGTTATAATATGCTGTTTCTTTTACTGCTCTAAATAGAACAGAATTCAAGAGATGGTTCTAAAAAGCTTCCCAGCCCTTGAGGAGATCAAAATGAGGGCTGCTGTTTTCCACCCCAATCCAGACTACACTATTCATCAGTGTAAAAATAAGCCCTCTAGATGCACCCCAAATCAAAAGTCCTTTTTAGTCTAAGCATTTTCTGCTACAAGCCATAAGCTAAATATTCTTAAACATCTCCATGTACTTTCTCACCCAGCCAAGCCTGTTGTTTTACAACAGGCGAAGATGCTCTGTGTACTAGAATATCACAGAATGCCACAGGATAAAAGAAGTTTTAGTCACAGAATAAAAAACTAAAGGTCACTCATTATTTGTACTGCATTAAACACTCATAAATCCATTACTTAAGGCCATCTAGAAGGAGTAGATTTGTATTGTGGCTTTCAAGGTCTGTGAATTACACAGCCATCAATAAAGGACAAGGAGAGAATACAGAAAAGGTCTTCTAACCTTTTCACTCTTTTTATTTACCAACTGGCAAGGCTGGTGGGAGGAAGGATGAGTTCTGTTCTTGACAATATTTCTCCACAGAAAACTAAGCCTGAGGTGTTAACTAAAATTATTCCATTGTCTTTTTAACTAATGAACTCATTAATTCTCATGGATATTGATTAGTGGAGAGAAATACATTACATCCCAATTAATGAGACTGTCTTAGTAAAAGGGGAAATGTTGCATAAAGTTAATTTGATTTTATAAAAGATTTTATTAACGAAATGGCTTTATATGAAGTTTGAAACAATCTAGCATATTAACAAAATTCCACATAGGAAGCAGGCCTGGTTGGTAATGCTATATTAGCTTGAAAAAATAAAAAGCTACTGGTAAAAAATCGGCAAATGAAAGGATGGCTCTCTCTAGAAAGAAAAATTTCCACTTTAATGCAAAATAGTTTGAAAATTAAAGGATGAATACTACACTGAAATATTAAACTGGGGAACTTCATTCCTGTGGGATATAGATCTCTGGAAGGAGAAAGCCCTCGTGCAGTAACCTGGTTCATGTGGCCTGGCTCTTCACACAGTAAATATTCCTTATGATCCTTTTTTAGATTTCATTTCGGTGACACTATTTGTGTCTTTATACATGTAATATCAAGGCATCTGCTAATGTGATTTTTACAACCATAAAAACCATTTTAAGGGAGTATCAGGTGCCATAAATCAACATAAAATTAGCAAACACACATAGAGCAGGACTTACCTGGAGCAATGAACTGTTTAACATTGGTGAATCTTGACTTATCAGCCACACTAGCCATAAAGCAGCCCTTGGGCACAGTCCAGTCACTGGGCTTGCTGTTTTTGTCCCTGTCTTCTGCTGTTTCATATACCTCTATGTGAGGAGGTTTCTCAGTTAGATTCTTGCTATAGTGACTTAACCCATACTGTGCAATCTGGATTGGGTAGAAATAGCCTTGAGGCCCCCACTGTGTAGATAAAGGTACACCTATAAAATAGAGAAACAAAATAAATAACTAATAAATAACTATCTCCAGACATTCATAATCCTATTCTGAATACCACTTTTCACTGTTTTACTTCACAGGGTTATCCAGCAACTTTAAAGCTTCCTTATTACACTGTTTTCATAATTACTAAAAATAGTACCAAGTCAACCAGAAATGAAAACCAAAATTAAATATTTATTCATTCTCATTCATTATTTGTTGACAGATAACAATGCAGTGTTGTAAATTATCTTTTAAGGACTGATTTTTAATGAGTGCTACTCTTGCTCATAGCTATAGATGTCATTTTTCATAATTCTATTTCATCATTCAAGCTCTATACAATTTAAACACATATACTGATAGTTAACAATTACCTGTTTTATTCTAGAGTATTAAACCTGAAATTTTCTTAACATCTGTACTTAACAGTCAAGTTAATTATATATTCATCTTTCCCTCCAATGTCAAGATTTGGTCTAGCAACTATATTATCAGATGGTTAAAGTATTTTCTTAAGAAGCCAGCTATGACTAGGCAACTTAAAGTATAAACAATTTGCAATTCTTTCTCATATCCCTCATGTCAAGATGTAATTCCTGAGAATAAGGAGTACTTTTTTTAAAAAAATGAATCATGGTTGTATATTTAACCATGGATTTTTTTAAAAAGTACATTTGTTTTTATTTATTTGGCTGCACCAGGTCTTAGCTGCAGCATGTGGAATCCAGTTCCCCTACCAGGGATTGAACCCAGGCCCCCTGCACTGGGAGTGCAGAGTCTTAACCACTGGACCACAAACGAAGTCCCTTAACCATAGATTTTTGATAAATTCACTAATGGATTACCTCTTGTAAAGTTCTAAGTAAAAGTTTCAAATGTTTGGTATGAGTGTTTACTTTAGTAATTGCTTACATGGGAAATACAGTAAAACCACACTGTACAGATATTTTATTATTGCATCATGGTGTATGTGTTGAGAGATAAACTCCTATTTGGAGCCCTAAAATAAGTTAACAAGCAACAGATGGGCACAGCAGAAACCAGGAACTTATAAAACCATATGCATTATGGTGTAGTTTCAAAATAGTTTAAGGAATTGGGGACCATATAGGGTAAGAAACCTAGGCTGCAGATAAGCTTTTTAACTTCAATATTCTTTCTCCAAGGGTAGATTTCTTTTTTCAAAAGATTTTCACTGAGTAAAAGAAAGGTTTACACTATCTTATTATATGGTAATAACTATGAAAATGTGCAATGGGCCCAAGAAGTGATAGACCGATCGATGGAACAGGATAGTAGGCCAGAAACATACTCTAGTTTTAAAATATTTTAGTATAATGATAAGATTGTATCATTGATCAGCAGGGGAAAGAAGATTCAATAAATGTTAGGGGGGAAAACATCTAAAATTAGACCTTGGCTTTGTACCATTTGTCAAAATATAAATCAGCTTAGAGGGACTAAAAACTTAAATGTAAAAATACAAAACCATAAAACTATTAGAGAAAATAAAGATGAATAGCTGATCATGGCATGGCAAATGATTTTCTAAGCATGAAAGTAGTAATTTTTAAAAAAATTCCTAAGTTTAGTAAATAGAACTAAAAATTTCTAAAACTAACAAGTCATAAGTAAAATTAAAAGACAGTCAAATTAAAGAAAATATCTTTAACAAATGTAACAAGGTGCTACTACCCTTGCTATATGTGTGTGCGTGTGTGTGTGTGTGTGTGTGTGTGTGTATAAAAGGTCTCACAATATATTTTCCCAAAAAACAACACTAATCACAATGAAAAGAGAAGGGAAAGAAAATCCAAGGCCATTCTATAACAGTTAAAAGGATATGAAAAAGATACCTGACCTCACTAATTGCTACAGAAAGCAAATTATGAGATCCCTTTGTAAATGACAGATTAAAAAATAATGTTTCATGATGGCAGGAGTGAGATGATGAGTACCCTTATACTCTGCTACCAGAAGCATGAATAGAGTCAACCTTCTTAGAAAATAGTTTGGTAAAACTGACTAATACTATTTGGCAAGGTAATTTATTTCCTAGGGAAACAACTCTGAGAATACATTTAAAACAGTAAATGATTTAACTATGAATATCCACACCATTATGTATAATGACAAAAGATATATGACCTAACTGTCCAACTAAAGAGCAAGGTTCCATATATTATTCCATACATTTTTATGGAATGTCCTGATTATTAGTGCTTAAAATGCTCAATATTCAATAATAAGAGGAAATAATCCTGTTGAGGGGAAAAAAATACAAAATTGACTACAGAGCATGATTCTAAACTGTTTAAAAAAGTGTATATATACAACAACAACAAAAAGATTGGAAAAAACATCAAAATATTAACAGTGGTTATAGGTGCTTTTCACTTTTAGCACCTAGGCACCTACTAAGCTTACACATTTTTAAAAGTTAACTGGGGGAAAAAGGTTTGGCAATGGAGAACTTTCATGTCTCTAACAAACTGTTACCCTCTTGAACACTGCACAATAAATATCATTACAACTATGTTAAAACATACACCTAGGTATAAAGACCTTCTGAGAATATACAAAAATGGCAATCATTATCTTGAATGGTAAGAATCTATATGAATGCATTCCCTTCCTTCTACTAAAGATTCTGTAACAATATTACAAAAATTAAAATATTAAGATGTGAAAATTACTTTTTATAACAAAATGAGAAAAATGAAATAAAACTCAAACCAAGAAATCTTAAAACACATTGTTCTTTTCTTTGATTAAATTATATACTTTAAAGTCAAATTCAGTTTGACTTTCTGATCAATTCTAGGTTTGAAATATAAATTCCAAAACATCCATAAGGAACCCTCAGTGCTCCAAATTTTAAAGACAAGGAAAGACAATATATACAGCAGACTATAGGAGTTCCAATATAGGGTCAGAGAAAATGGTACTATGTGTTTTCTTGTTCTGAGAACTTTAACCCTTCAACCAGAGATGATACCTAGCTAATCTGATAACAAGACGGCACTGGTACATTGATGGGTTCGATGGATGGTCTGTCTCCCTTTCCCATCTCCTCTCATAGGATAATAACTGTATATTTTAATGTAAAATTTCTGAAGATGCTGTGCCTTGACTTTACTGATAACTTTAGTTCCCGGGGCAGGTTAATGGCATAATCCTATTTAATTAGGTATGATCTTATTGGAGCCCTTGAATCACCATCTAGAAAGCTGTCCAAGGTTCGGGTTTAACCTGTTCCTCCCTGCTAAGTCAGAGCAGTGATAGGTCTCTTGATAATAAGCTGTGTAATACTTGCTATGTAATTAACAGTTACAGTCACTTATTCCTCAACACAATCTGGATAGAAAAATGCAGTGGAGTAGACGGATACCAACCTTCAACCCCACTTATGCACTTGACTCTGTCTCGGACTTCCACATTGTAGCCTTCAAAGGACATAAACACACCATCAGGGTGATAAGGGGCTCTCTGTGCATAGACTTTGGAATAGCTATGAGAGAATTCAAACCGATCATAGCCATCATACTGAACCACCTTTCCGTAAACGTCAAAATATTTCTCTACCCAGGTGAATGGAAGAAAGACTTCATTCCCCTCTCGTCTCCCTTTAATTGTGTGTTCATCATTTATGAGGCAGTCAATTTCTTCGTACTTGAGCCCTAACACCTTGCTTCCCCCATTGTTACTGAAGCCCCCAACAACAGGGGGAGCTTTCTGCTGTTCCTGAGGGAAGGCCTCCTCAGACTGCTTGGCCATGTGGTTCACATAGTTGTTGCTCTCAGACGCTGCCGCTCTTTTTTCTAAGGCATCCACTCTGAAGCCACTACTCAAGTGTCGTGGAACCTGGATCGCTTTGTCACTGGAACACTTATTCCACAAAAGTACTGTGACCAAAGTGAAGAGCGCACAGATGATAATCAAAGTCTTATAGTTGACCCGAGCTGCCAAGCAACGCATATTCAGACCATACCTATGGAGGCAAGAAGAAAAATTCACACAAAGATGTACTACTGACATTTCACAGGATAAGGTTTACTTTTTTTTATACTGAACCACCACACTAGGGCAGTTTTATTAACTGCATGTAATCTGATCACAGCTAAAATTACTAACTCAAACTTTTCAGCATAGACAAAGAAAAGGCAAGAGGTGCTTCCCCCTCTTAAAATGCTCAGTTGGCACGATCCTCTAAAGCAAAGATCCCCAAACTTCCCTGTTTGTGTCTCCCTTGGATTCTTAATAATTTTTTCACAAAGCGCCTAAGTCAAAAGAAATACCTATTCCTTCCATTTATGAAGTAGGTGGGCTCCAACAACTTAATACATGCTTTTGTCCTAACAACTGAGTAGCTGTTTGAAAAAATATAACATGGTGCCAAATCCAAAAATGCTCATTCTGTGTTACCTCTCAGGAGCATAAAATAGTAAATGGCTCTTTCCTTTCTGAAACACTTTCTTTCCTGACTTCCAGGGCACCACTCTTTCTTGGTTCTCCTTATACCCCACTAGATGCTCCTCCTAGTCATCTTCGATCATTCATTCTCATCTCCCTGAATCTTAATGTTGAAATGTCTTAGGGTCCAAGTCCTCAGACCTCTTCTTTATCTCTATTCATTCCCAGGTGATCTCACCCATGAATCACATGGCGTTAAATACAATTTATATGTTGACTTTCCCCCAAATTCTATCTCCAGGCCAGATCTTTCTTCAGAACTGCAGGCATACATGTGTATGTGCCAATCCAAGTAACTGACATCTTTATATGGAGGTCAAATGGATTTCTGAAACATAACATTCAAAATTTATTCCCTAAGCTTTCCCCTCAACCTGTTGTTTTACTGGTCAGACCAGAAATACTGAGTCCTTTCTTGTTCACCCCAATCCAACCAGTCAGGAAATCTTGTTGGCCCTACCTTTAAATCATATCCAGATTCTAATTATTTTTCACCAGCTCCACTGTTAACACCATAGTAGAGCCACTGCCATCTTTCACTTAGAAAGCTGCAATGATGGGGGCTTCTCAGCAGTAGTAAAGAATCTACCTGCCAATGCAGGAGACATGGGTTTGATCCCTGGGTCAGGAAGATCCCCTGGAGTAAGAAATGGCAACCCAGCCCAGTATTCTTGCCTGGAAAACTCCATGGACAGCAGAGCCTGGCAAACTACAGTCCATGGGGTCACAAAGAGTTGGGACAGCTGAGTGACTGAGCACACTGTAATGATGTCTAAGCTGCTCTCCCTGCTCTTTAACTTGATCTACTATTCTACCCCAAAGTCTACTCTCAAGATCGCACTCAGAACGATGCATTTAAATATAAGCCAGATCATGTCACTCCAGTCATGATGGGAGAAGATGATGCTGTCGCCCCTATCGGTCTTGTGGTATACCAACCAGTTATGACTGAATAAAGGTAGTCCTGGCTTGCTTGTAGCTGGGGTCATTGGGAAATATAAAACTATAGATTAGTTATATGTGCAACATATGGAATATCTCAGCACACTGAAAGTAAAGAGAGTAGGCTTATTGCTGTTTGCTATAGTAGCTCTAATTTATTTCATGGTGTAAATCCACAACTACTCATTTTATGGTTGTAATCCTTCTTTCCCCTTTTCCTCTCAATAAACCCTTCTGGCAGCAATGAGATTTTTTTAAAAAAATCAAACTGTTAAAAGAAAAGGTTTAATGAAAAACTACATAATGATTTTCTGTTTTTCAGGAAAGCTGATGATGAATGTGTAACTCACTCATTTCTTTTAATTCCAAGAGGAGGTAAACCCTGAGCCCTTGCATGGCTGAAAGCAACTTTATTCTGCTCTCACCTTTGATTAATAGTTTGGCAGGATACAGAATCCTTGGGCTGCATATCATTTTCTTTCTAAATGCTGAAGGCAGTATTTTACTTTCTTAAAGCATTACCAGCTACTGATGAGAGGTCTGATTTCAGTCTGATACTTGTCATTTTGTGCATAACTTCCCTCTGGATCTTGTGTTTACCCTAGGAATTCTGCAGTTTTACAAGAATGTGTTACAGTATGATATTTAATTCACTATTTCAGCAAGTGGTGTACTCTTTCAATCTGAAACCTTGTGTTCTCTTATTCTTATTCAACAGATGTAGTATCCTTTTGGAGCTCTGAGTATGTTAGGGTTCTGTTCTTGTAAGTTTCTCTCTGATATCTCTATTTTCTTTAGTGGTAATTTTCCTGGTTATTTTAGTCTCTTTCACACTATTAGCTTTCCTGACACGCTTGTGATCTTTGGTTACTCACTCATCTTTAGGCTTGAATGACTCATTAGCCAACACAGATTTCCTCTGTTATTGTGAAGATGGTCTGATTTCTAGCTAGACTTCTCTCCAGAGAGGAGCTCTGTGTGGGCTAGGTACAGGCTGAGTGGTACTGTTCCTTTAGGGTGTGTGGGTGGGGACCCAGCAGGCCCTCTCAATGCCAGAATGAAGATGACTTTTTCTTTTGTTCTGGGGACATAACTTGTAATTAGCTTTTCCCAATTTCTCTAAAGAAAGTCTGGCAAGATGTGGGTTCGATCCCTGGATTGGGAAGATCTCCCAGAGTAGGGTATGGCAATGCATTCCAGTATTCTTGCCTGGAGAATTCTCATGGACAGAGGAGTCTTGTGGGCTACGGTCCAGAGGGTCACAAAAAGTAGGACATGACTGAAGCAACTTAGCATGCATACATGCCAGCTATCTGCAGTTCAAGTGCAGGGATGAGAGAGGTAGGGAGAAGGAGGGTAGAGCTGTGCCTTCTAGTACTCAAAAAGAAATCCAGAAATATGTCCAGTTATCATTCTGTGGTAATCTTCCCATTTCTTGTTATTGATTTCATTTCTTAATTCTATATATTTTATTTCAGTGGGGCAACAGGAGGGAAGGGAGGCAAAGATATGGGCTTAATCCAACTTGGAAATCATACACAGATTGTAAGAGCCGGAATCCAATAATACATTTTATCATCTGCATTTACTATGAGAAAACATGTTGAATGCAAAAAAAAAGAAAAAAGTGTGGAACAAGCAAATCTTCATAAGTCATGTATTTATAAATTTAGGATTTCCTTATATAGCAGCATGGGCAAACTGATAATAATAAGTGATGTTTCATAAAAAAAAAAAAAAGCCCTTCATTAAAAATATTTATGTGGCAACTTTCGAATTATCTGTCAGATATACCTAACATTTAGACCAGTTTAAACAGAAATGTAAAGCCTTTATCCTTCTTTGAGATGCACTCTTCCTCAGTTACCCAAAAGACCTGCTTATGGAACTAGCAGACTACAATTATGATGAGGAACATGATGGAAAAATAAAGAAAAACCAAAATTAAAAACTTTCAATAACCTTTACATCCAGATTTTTAAGCAATCAGGAAAAGAAATAAAAACAATCAAGGCTTCTCAGAGAAATGATTCTGAAAGGTCCCCCTTCCCCATTAAGTCAAAGTTGTGAGAATTATCACTGACATTGACTGAAATGGTGAATCAATAAAAATCCATGAGTCTATAATAACATTCAGAAAAGGAGAAAGCCAGAAAAGATACTTATGTCATTTTTTGATAAAAATATGTAACTAAGTTAAAGAATTTATTTATCTAGTCTTTGCAGGAGAACAAACCAACAGTCCCAGATGATAAAAAATTCTATTTTACAGAAAACGTGTGGCTAATAATGTGGAAGAAAAAAATTAAAACCAGAAAAGTAACATATGTGATTCCTCATGAAATTATTAATTTAGGCAAGTATTATACCCAGGCATATGTTTGATAGGGACTTCATGATTCATACTGTGTGCAAAGTAACACCAAGTACAGTATTTCCCAGTCACAAGGAGAAAAAGCTGAAACTCTACAATGAAGGGATCAGTCGTCACCCTAGGTCAGTAGTTAAATTCAATCTCATTAATGATGACCAATCCAGATATTGTGCCTCTTGATAAGTTAAAATAAAAAATACATAGCCTACTGCATATCCCAGACAAAAATGTTTAACTTGGATCTCTTAGGCCCTATGATTTAACTTTGCGTTAACAGAAAATACAAGGGAGAGAGGAACAAGCAAAATGCAGATGCAACCAACACATCTAGAAAATGAAACATCCTGCAGGAGAGTTGGCTCCATTCCCTTGATAAATTAATGGTACAAAAAGAAAATGGGAATTGGGTTAGATTTTTTTAAAAAGAGACTTAAGGACTATAACAACCAGATGTGAAACTTGGTCTGAAGCTGGGAAATTTGACTACGGACTTGGTAAGAAGAAAAGATGGAAGGACATATGGAGGTTAACACTGAAAAAATGAGGTTACAAAATCACATATAGTATGATTTTCTAATTTTCCATGAATATATTTACTGTTTTTTAAAACCATACAATAGAAAATTAAGAAGGTCAAAGTCACTTTTGTTAAAATAGTAAATGTAAATTTTGAGTTAAAATATTTAGTTTTCAAAAACAGATGGTGACATTTTTTTTGGAGGAGAGGATGGAGAGAAAGAAAACTCTGAGTATTGACATGCAGTACTAACTACCAAATAGGCTTATCTAAAGGTAAGTGCAATAATTTTATTATGTTTCTCATAATAAACTTCTACATGTAGAAAACTTCTACATTTCGAAAAGCAGACTGCATTGACATTTTGCTAAGTATAAGTGATAGTAACTTTAAAAGCTAAAACCAGGGTTTTCTGCTGAATAGTGATAAGCTTCCTACTCATTTTAAAGCCTTTGCTACATCCATGAATTAGATTAACCTTTCAAGTTAAAGGGGAAAAAAGTAAAAAAATAAATAAATTCAAAAACCATGAAAGCTTATGTACTGCTGATCTTAAATATTTATTTCATTAGAGACATAATACAACAAAATTTAGTTTAGTAACTTTAGAGATCTAAAATAGGAAATAACATTCAGTAAACATCAAAAAGAAAATGTAGTAACTTATTTGCTGAAACCCTTAAAA